TGTTTTCCACTACACTGGAGGTTTTAATCTTTTGCCTCAACCATAGTGTTACATATTGTTAACTATCTGTCAAACTTGACCCCATATTCCACTATTACAAATATTGTGATTGTGTAGCACATGAACTTCAGGAGAAGTGGCAGACTTCTTCCAGGTGAAATGAATCAAGGTCCCATCCCCTGATTCTGTTACTACTTACTTACCTTTGTTCCGGTTTTCTAAACAGAAACAAAAAGTATTATGTTATAATACTGCTCATTCCTGAATAACAATGGAATAGCTTTAGAATACTACACTTAGTTGCAGCTTTTTATTCTGCTCTAGTGTCAATGTTACTTTACCCTTTTCTACTCAATGTAGTAAATCTATTTGCCTCATCTACAGTCCTGGGGTACTATGCCCCAGGAGTACAAAGATACATCTGTCATCCACTTGTACAAGAGGAAAAGCAATAGACAATCCTGTGACAACCTTGCTGTCAATAGCTTGTGAAATCCTTTCCAGAATTCTGTTGAATTGCCTTGTGCAATGCATTGAACAAGGGCATGTGCCTGAGAGTCAGTGTGATTTCAGGAAAGGATACGGGACCATAGACACGGTATTTGCAGCTCATCAACTTCAGGACAAATGCCAGAAACAGAACTCCAACCTGTGCATGACTTTCAGTGACCTGACAAAAGCATTGATACTGTTAGTTGGCAGGACCTTTGGAAGATCGTGGCAAAATTTGGTTGCCTGCAGAAATTCATCACTGTGGTTTGGCAATTCTATGATGGTGTGCTTGCTCATGTTGTGGATGACAGTTAGTCATCTGAACCATTCCCAGTCACCAATAGAGTCAAGCAGGCCTGTGTGTTGGCCCCAACCCTCTTCAATACAATATTCTCTGCCATACTTACAGAGGCCTTTCATGAATGTGACACTGGGATTGACATCAGTTACCAGACTGAGGGCAAACTCTTCAATTTGAGGAGACTACAGGTGAAGACAAAGTTACAGGAAGTGACTGTTTGTGATCTTCTGTTTGATGATGACTGTTCCTTGAATGCCAGATCTGAGTCTGACATGTAACAAAGTATGTATGGACCATTTTTCTTCAGCTTGTGACAACATTGGTTGCACAATCAACACTAAGAAGACAGAAGTAATGCACAGCCTACACCAGAAAAGCCTTACAAAGAGCCTACCATCACAGTGAATGGCCAAGCCCTCCAGGCAGTGGACAAGTTCACCTATCTTGGTAGTAAATTGTCATATGCAGTTAACATCAATGATGAAACCAATGCCAAAATTGCTAAAGCAAGTGTGACCTTCAGCAGACTACGTGCAAATGTGTGGGAGCACAGAGGCATGAGTCAACAAACAAAACTCTTGCAGCAAGAGCAGTGCTGCTACAATGTTGGACACTTAAGTGATGCTGCTTTAAGAGCAAGAGCTGAGCAGGCAGAGGCCTGGACATGGCAAAGGCAGCAGCAGCAGCAGCAGTAGTTCAGCGGGGGACTGCTTTGGAGTTCCCAGCATAGGAAAGACTCCTGCTCTCTCTTCTTCTCCCTCCCCTCAGAACTGCATGGCCTCCACCCCAGGCTCCCACAGGGTTTGCCCAGGGCACAAACCCAGATTTTTACACTTCAGCTCTGACACAAAGAATATACCTGTGTCTAGAAATAGATATATTCAAAATGATTAAAGCTATGACTTCTACACATCTCATAGCTTTTTAAAATTTTTTAATTCCTTTTCTTTCATTACGAGTATTATAGAAGTAGTGGGAAAAGGCAGAAGGAGGAAGTTAATAGAAGTAAGGAAATAGGAAAGAAACTCAAAAGGAAAAATCATGTTATTTCTTATCACTGTGCTTAAATTAAATTATTTAAAACCATGCATTTCCAACCTAACAAGGTACCTGGACATAATGGTACAGAGTGCTTTAAAAGAGTTTTGAAATCATCAACATTCATGGATTATTTCTTGTAGTTTCACCTGCCATTTAAGAAATCATTAGAAAAGATTTAGGAAAGGCTTAAATTAATTCCAGCATATGTATGAGTCACTGCTCACTTTGCTTGTAGAGATGTTTAAACTCATTAAAGTGAATTACATTAAACAGGTTTTTGAAGTAGATTGTTGATCCGCTGGAAGATATTTTCAATGAGGTAATTCAGTAAAGGTCTGTGCTGTTAATCACACATTTCAATTTAATGATACAACCACATGCTGGCAGATTGCTTTCCGGTATTATTTATGAATGAGGCAATTCTTTGAAATATAAAACCTTTGCTTTCCAACTGCCTCACTATTGTGGATGGCAATCTAGTATTATGCATCAAAACTAGGGGAAGTTAAACAAGCTATTTTTAAAAACACGACTATAAAATATACACTTACACTTCTCTGAAAAATACACTTTTGCATAAGGCTTTTGAAGGCTACAGCCTTGTTTATTTCTATGTGAATATTTTTCCTTTATTTCTGCTGGAAAAGTGCAGGAGGAACAAGTGAAGAGATAAACTTTTACTGGTATATGTGATGGGAAACTGGTCTATATCCATAACAGAACAGAAGTTCAGCACACACAGACTGGTTTAAAAATGGTGGAACCTAGTCTAAGATTTACCCAACAACCTCCCCTCCACCCCACAAAGGGTGAGTGTGTGTTCAGTTTGCTATGGATCTAAACTACACTGCTTACAGAAGACTGCGTAACTTAGACTGATTCCACCTCAGGCTTTTTGAATATCTATATCTAGACTAAAGGTCCTCCTAAACCCCTTAGAGGATTTTAGAAAAGTCTCCTGTTAAGGCTTTCTGTATCCTGGAAGGGAAGTTAGTAAAGATCAGAATTATATGCACAAGGAACAGTGAAACACTATGTTCACAGCCAGATGAAAGGTGAAAATTGGCACTTTAGATGGTGAAGACACAGGAGAGCAGATAGGTGTATAATCATTCAGTGCTAGATCTAAAAAAAATTTGGTCTAATAAAAGATATCACCTCTGCCACAAGTTTTGAGATCTAAAAATGGACACAGGCACCTAAGTAAAATTTAGGTGCCAATTCAATGCCTAAGAGTTGAATTGATAACCTAAACGTTTCTGTGCAGCTATCGCCCTAATCTGCAAGGCATTTAGGACGCTATTACATGAGTGTGCAGGCTGCTCCGACATGCTGTAATTACAGCGCATCAGAGCAAACACAATTAATCAAGTCTGCTGGAGTGTGGCAATTACCGTGCTCCAGCAGCCTCCTGGGCCTCATGTATCAGCATCCCCACACTTCAAAATGGCAGCAGGGACACTTGAACTAAAGCTCATCAAATGAGATTTAACTTAAGTGCCCCCAGTGCCATTTTGAAGCATGAGGACACTGTTACACGAGACGCTGCAGCACTTTAATTAGAGCGGTTCTCTGAGAGCCACCCTAATTAAAGTGCCACCCCTCCCACCCCCAGAGCATGTGTAAAAGTGCCATTAACCTCTATAAACACCACAGTTTGTGACCTTAATGTTTCCTATGTGTTTGAAGGTTCTTCTTCTGCACATGCACTTAAATCTTGTCAAGGCGATATTAGTAGTTCGATAGTTTTATTTAGACGATGTCTAAGCCAAATCAGCCAAAATGTAGGTATTTCTCCACTAAAGTCTCCCAAGGGGCTTGATTTGGTACGCATACAGGCCAGCATGTTCAAAGGCATGCCCCACTCAGCCTCTCTTTCTGGCAAACTTCAAACCTAGAAATATGCTACTGAAACCACTTGGGGTCATTCTCAGTGGCCACTCACAAACATGGCACCTAGCTCTTTATTTAATGTAGCTCTTAGTCTTTAAAGCTGAAGACTCAAAAATGACCAGAGTTTTTGTAAATAAAGTTTACTTAATATTAGCTCAGATTCCCTCCCACTTAGGAGAGACTACATCCAGTTATTAGGGATATGAAAACTATATAAAATTAGGAAATTAGTAACCATTAATATAATAGAACTGGAACTCTGAAACTCAATGTCCGTGCCCCCGACCTATAAAATTTTCTGAAGGTTTATTGGAAGATGTCCATTGATGTGGGTGAAATATTTGGAACGTAGAAGGATCTATAAGCAAGAAAACAAGGAGAAGAACAATGCACAGGAAACACTGTACGCCCTTGCATATCCAAGAGCACATACTTTCTGAATTATACAGCACAACCCTTTTAATTATTGGCTCCATTTGTATACTCGGCTTTGTGAGATGAAAGATCATTTGGATCCTAACTTGTTTTTCACTGTTTGCTTGCATTTCCTTCCCCAATTTAAATTTCAGCATTTGTTTCTTTTCCTAGTACGTTTTTAAAGAATTTTGTTTAAAATTATGGTTAAGTTGACTAGACTTCTTAAATAATTCTTTATAAAAATGTCACATGGAACACAAGTATTTATGGATTCCTTTGAGGACTGAGCCACATTTAATAAAAAAAAAACCCCCAGTATGGCTAGGGACAGAAATTACACATAAACTGGTATAAGAGATCAGAAAATTATTTTTAACTGTAATACAATAGAAGTTCAGTGCACATAAAACTGCTTTTTAGGATAAATCAGTTTATTGAACTTCTGTCCCAGATCCCCTCCAGATTGAAGTTAGCTCATAGTTCCCCAGCGTCCAGAGTGGATAAAAATGCATGATTTAAAAAAAATGTATTTTAAAAAAATTAATATTTTTTTAAATTTAATTGTATATTGTAATTTTTTTTGTTAAGATGCTTTAAAAAAAACCTATATAAAGATAGTTTTAATTTAAGATATGTTAAAGCTCAAAGATATCATCATGGAATAGGGATTATAACTTCTAATTATATACTATTTGAGAAAATATATTCATGTAACCTTTTTAGAAAAGTTTTATAAATAGGTCACAACAGGCCATGGACTATATTATATTAGGGTCCCAATCTTATGGGGTTCCCAGGGGCTCCTCTATAGATTAGTAAAGATTAAAGAAAGCCACTCTACCCAATGGGACTCAGTGCTCAGTCTAGAAGATCCCATTAAGCATTTCTGTGATGCTTAGTTTCAGTTCTCAAACTGTGGATTTGTGTCTCCAGAGATAACATCCTTGTTAACAGCAGTATATGAAAATGAGAGGTAACAGACCTGATTACTTACCCATCATCCCTTTTATAGATTCAGACTTGGGCTTTTTGAATGTCTGTACTTAGCCTATGTTGTTGACAAAGTAGTAAGATATGACATATTGTTCAGAGAGTTGTATTGTCTTTCTGTAAAATATGATGAAATAAAAGCCTTTTGAAATGCTTACAAAGTGCATCAGATATATAGATGCATAAAACTGGGGGGGAAAAAACCCTAAGGTAAAAAGGCAAAATTGTTGAATGCATTTTATGGTAAATTATCTGTTTTCTATTAAAGATATCTTAGAATTTTACATTTCAAAGATATTTAGGTAAATTTTACATTTCATAGGATCATAGAATTAAAGAAAGTATGGTGCTGGAAGGAACCTCAGGAGGTCATCTCCCCTCTGTTCAGAGCAGGATCATCCTTGTCTAAACCAGAAGTGTAAAAAGGGGTACAGGGCTGGGCTTTCAGGTGGATCAGACCCGCAGGCCAACCACATGCACTGGAGCTAGTGCATGAGGCTGGTCCAGCATGGACACCTCCTACAGCTCACAACCTGGACCAGCCATTTTGCCTTGCATACAGCACACACTGGTCCCGCTCTGAGATTCACACACAATGCTAGCATAAGGCACATGCTGCATGAGGTACCCATGCCAAACTAGTCCTGTATGCTCCAAGACCAGTCCAGATTGGGGCCACAGATCAGCCCCACACACTGGAGCCAGAAAGCAAGGCTGGTCTGGCAGGGGTATGCATGCAGCATGCACCCTAGATCAACAACCTGTGCTGCATCCAGCATGCATAGCCAGTCCAGCCCCGGACACCACATTCAGTATATACCAACCCTGTTCTGGGGCTTGTGTTGCACATAGAATGCAGAGCCAGCATGAGGTGCTCACTGTCCGTGGCACCCACATCGGAGCAGCCCTGCATGCTGGCTCTGACACACAGGGATGG